TTTTTTTTTTTTTGCTTGATCATTTTGTATATGTAAAAATACTAAAGTCTATTTAATTGATATACAGAATAAAAATCCCTTTATAATGTTTACTCAAACGGTTTGTTAGTAGCTATTGAATTGAGCTGTTTTTGTCTGTAGTCCAACCTTGTTCGTGTTTTACATTAACTTGGGAGAAAGACACACAAGTAAATTAATATTATCAGTTGAACTAAATGAATCCATCACCACCGATTAGTTTCAGTAAAGGACTTGATGATTTTCATGTGGTGAAAAAATTATAAAAAGATGAGAACTGAGAAAGACAGGAAAAAGACAAAGAGGGGGTGAAGAGAACAACAGATGCATAATTTAAGAGTGAATCTCCAAACACATGTAGTCTGTGGGCAGACCATGGCAAGACACGAAATGGAAGCTTTAGTGTGATGGTGGGAGAAGAAGATAAAACATCTATAATTTAAATCTTTCTTTCCCAACACAGTACACATTTTCAATAATAACCTGGAATTCTAAAATTCCTGTTATTATATGTTAAATGTTTCATTTTTATACTGGGGTATGCACTTCTTTGTTGATATTCATGTTACTATTTTATGTTGAATATTCAAACATTTTGTCTTTTCTAATACCATTTTTGTGATTTATGATTTTTAAATAATAGAAAAAGCTATTTTAATAACTCAACTCTTACAAACAAGGAATTTGGTCAAATTACACCAAAGGAATGTTTTTCTACAGTGGAGATCAAAATTAGAGAACAATTGATTTTTTCAGAAATAATGTAATCTTCATCATTCAAAATTTGAAGGAATTTCAACTGTGGCTATACCATGCTAGTAGAACTGTGTTTTACAAAATAACCAAGACACTTCAACAAAAACCTTTTATTTTGTGGGAAACACGGTGATCAAAATTAGAGAACAGCAATGATTGTTGCACAAAGAAAGATTACAACTAAAATTTCTGAAGGTTACCAGTCAAAATTAGTAGGAAGTGTACAGGCCCTTGCTTTGAATGAATTCAGCAATTCCAGCTGCAGTGTTGAACCGATTGTCCATTGAGAGTCTCCGCATTATTCTGTCCTCTCGTACATTTGTCTTTCGTGGACAACCAGCCTTTTTGGGGGACTTGAATGTGTTAGTGACACAGTAAAGATGCAATATTCTAGAAATCACAGACTTGGAACGACCGACTTCTCTTGCTATGGCTGCTATTGGCCTTCATCTGGACAACCTGCTGTCGGAGTGTTTCAGTCTGTTTAGAACGGCTCACCGTCTTGCAAAGTCAGTGAAAACTGGAAAGTTATGCGGTCAGTTTTTTACATTGTTAGAAGAAATTTCAGTTTTAAAACATTCTATTTACTGTATAACTACTATGTACTTTATAAACTTTTTATTTATTAAAGAATCCTAAAAAAAAATCCTGAAAAAAAATGCTTCGCAGTTTCCACAAAAATGTTAAGCAGCATGTTTTCAACATTATTAATAAATCACCAGATCAGCATATTAGAATGATTCTGAAGGATCACGTACTGTATGTATATGCACATACATGTATATTGTATTTCTTTTTTTTTCTTTTTTTTTTATAATTTTTCCTTTATTTCTTTTAATCATTTTAATCATAATCATATTTTAATGTTCCCTCCCTCTTTGTTTTCAGGTAGCAGAGAGTTAAATGTACCTGCACAGGTTAAGAGTGCAGCTCCCTGTATTACGGTCCTGCTGGTTTGATCCAGTTCTCTACAAAAGAAAGACAGATGAAGCTCTCGGCTGAAGTGAATTTTCAGGTAGCGGTGCCCTCATGATTCTGTTATTACAACCCATTTATCTCTCACTCGGTCTCTCTTTTTGCTGAGCTTGCTAAAGATCTGGGATTGGCCTGGTTTTAAAATATCAGTTTTGTGCTTTTATATTCTTTTATATACTCACACACACATAAATATTGTTTCACAGATACAAGTTTGTATAAAAGCAAAATCACCTTGTCTATTATTTAAGCTACTATGTCATATACAGTATATGGGGTTTAATTTGATATATTAGAGAATTATAAAACCCTGTTAAATAATTGAAATTTCTTGTAATAAAGTATTATCACCTTGACATTTTTTTTTATATATATCATTTTGATTAAGTATTGATCACATTGCTGGTGTGCTGCAAAAGCTCTTCTCTCTTTTTATGTGAGTATATGTTTGTCACAGGCTAATAATATCAGTCTTACTTCCCAGGTCTCACAGCGTCCCCAGCAGGCATCAGTGGTGATGTGCAGCCCACTGCATCCCGGCTTACGGGCCAGAAAGGTAAATTCTCTGACTGCACAGCCGATGAAACGCTTCAGGTTGAGCACAGAAGCCTCAGTTTGAGCGCTACAACACAGCCAAACAGCCAGTGTCACACAGCACAGAGTTACAGGAGACAGTCTACCAGAGAAAGAATAAGAGTTCATGATGAGGCCGCATGTCTCAGAAGAGTGATTAAGTGTTAAATGCTCTGTAGGTTGCAAAAAATCAAGCAATTACTTTTGATTAACATAGCAAGTGTATAATATGAGTTGTAATGATCCATGAAAACAGCTGTTTTTCTTTTAACGTTACTTATACAGTATAAAGATCACATTAAAACTGTTTTGTAAAATTTGTATCATTCCTAGCATGTACACTACCATTCAAAAGAGGTCGTTTTTTTAGACTCTGATACATCAGGTGTGCATTATTTTGGCCAAAGTGACAGTAAAGACAATTATAATTCTATTTCAAATAGATAATTTTAACATTCTATTCATCAAAGAATAAAAAAATTCACAGTTTGCACAGAAAAACATTACGTCTCAATGTTTTCAACACAGATGATAAGAAGAATGATTTTATTGATCCATATTAGAAGGATCATGTGACACTGAAAATTCAGCTTTGGTATCACAAGAAATAAATTGCATTTTAAATGATATTAAAGTAGGAAATACATTTCCGCCTCTCTCTTTTAAGAGCACTAAATGAAAAGCTGTTCAGTTTTTTTTTTTCTCGGAAAATGATTATTTGGGTCAAAGTGAGTTCTGTTCCCAAAGTGATTTCAGCTGCTCTATGTGTAAAATTAAAACACAATCCAATCCTACAAACGCAATCAATAATGCAAATGCAAATTATTTTGCTAAATAAATACAAACTCTAACATATTATCTTTGGATTTTTGTGAAACCGTCAAACCTTTAGCTGCTTCAGTTTGTATAAAAGCAAAATCACCTTGTCTATTATTTAAGCTACTATGTCATATACAGTATATGGGGTTTAATTTGATATATTAGAGAATTATAAAACCCTGTTAAATAATTGAAATTTCTTGTAATAAAGTATTATCACCTTGACATTTTTTTTTTTTATATCATTTTGATTAAGTATTGATCACATTGCTGGTGTGCTGCAAAAGCTCTTCTCTCTTTTTATGTGAGTATATGTTTGTCACAGGCTAATAATATCAGTCTTACTTCCCAGGTCTCACAGCGTCCCCAGCAGGCATCAGTGGTGATGTGCAGCCCACTGCATCCCGGCTTACGGGCCAGAAAGGTAAATTCTCTGACTGCACAGCCGATGAAACGCTTCAGGTTGAGCACAGAAGCCTCAGTTTGAGCGCTACAACACAGCCAAACAGCCAGTGTCACACAGCACAGAGTTACAGGAGACAGTCTACCAGAGAAAGAATAAGAGTTCATGATGAGGCCGCATGTCTCAGAAGAGTGATTAAGTGTTAAATGCTCTGTAGGTTGCAAAAAATCAAGCAATTACTTTTGATTAACATAGCAAGTGTATAATATGAGTTGTAATGATCCATGAAAACAGCTGTTTTTCTTTTAACGTTACTTATACAGTATAAAGATCACATTAAAACTGTTTTGTAAAATTTGTATCATTCCTAGCATGTACACTACCATTCAAAAGAGGTCGTTTTTTTAGACTCTGATACATCAGGTGTGCATTATTTTGGCCAAAGTGACAGTAAAGACAATTATAATTCTATTTCAAATAGATAATTTTAACATTCTATTCATCAAAGAATAAAAAAATGCACAGTTTGCACAGAAAAACATTACGTCTCAATGTTTTCAACACAGGTGCATTATATTGGCCAAAGTGACAGTAAAGACAATTATAATTCTATTTCAAATAGATAATTTTAACATTCTATTCATCAAAGAATAAAAAAATTCACAGTTTGCACAGAAAAACATTACGTCTCAATGTTTTCAACACAGATGATAAGAAGAATGATTTTATTGATCCATATTAGAAGGATCATGTGACACTGAAAATTCAGCTTTGGTATCACAAGAAATAAATTGCATTTTAAATGATATTAAAGTAGGAAATACATTTTACATTGTAATAAGATTTCACAATTTTAGTTTCATTTTGATTGAAATCTTACAAAATCCAAAATTTGGATTTTTATGTATTTTTCATTATCGTTTTACTGTTTTACCCTTGAAAAATCAATCATAAAAATTACATTTTTAAACTATGATAAGATATAACAAAATATAATTTCCATAAAGAGCTGTAAAAAGGAGTATTCAAGTTTCTCACCCCTGTGCTCCAGACCTCAGAGGAGCCATTGCTGGTTCCAGTGACTGTGGATCTGTTTACAAAATAACAGTAATTAATAAAATAATTAATAAAACACAAATCTCACTTATCTTCTGTTTGTCTTCTTAGTTTCAGCAAGGTCAAAGATACCTGGATGACAGATGCAGCACAGCTAAACTCTCCAGAATCAGCGAGAAATCTCACTTCCAGTCCTGATATCACCTCTCCTGAAGTTCCTCTGACACTGAACTTGCACAAATCTGTAATTTATTAGAAATGGCGCTGCCAACCCCACCTAAAACACATGGGGCTGTCTCTATAGCACCAACTGCATCCAGCAGTAATAAAGAGATGTCACATAAGACCAAAGACAAACAAGGAAGGAGCCGGTGAGTCCATGTGTGTGGAGATTGATTTAGCCCCTCAGGCTCTGAAATCTGTGCATGTCTTACCTGCTGCTCAGGTACATCAGCCGTACATCCATTAACTTAATGAAGAGAAAAGAACCTCCTTTTGTTCGGAGTCATCCACATGGAAGAGAATGGGAAACACATTCATCCTCTAATCCATGTATTCATTTATTCATCCATCCATCTTGTGGGTTGTGGTTAGTCCTGGCTCCAGGAGGTGTCAGGACAGGTTAAATGAGACGTCAGGCTCCAAACAGTTAGAGTTTAGTCAGATACTTTCCATGACAACATGGTGGCAAAATCTAAGAAGTGATTTTCCAGAAAGGTCTGATATAATTGACACCTGAGGGGCCAGGATGACAATTTTGCTGAGTTAATTTTCTCTGAAAATCATTTTCTTTATTATATTCTTTATTCTTTTTTCCCCCTTAAATTAGAAAAAATGGCATTGAATGTGTTTGGATTTCATGAATGACAAACAGGCATAGAAAACAACAGTAGAACAGAAACAAAACTGCTGGTAAAACACATATTGCCTAGCTTATCATGCACAATACAGAATATATATTAGCTATATTTGTACAAAGATGCACACAAAACACTAGCCTACTTGTTTACACTAAATAATATAAACTGAGACCATCTTCAAGTAACGTCAAACAAACTTTTCTAAAATTATGACACCCAGTGGTCAATTTGATCTAATTACAAAGAATTTGACTCACATAGTGATCATGTTGTCCCGCAGCATCTCCCTTTAGTTCTGCATCAGTATCCACATCCTGTATATGTATACACTGGCGGGCTATTCAGTGAGAATTATGCAATACATTTTGGCTTCTTTAATAGGCTTCGTATGATTAATTAATAAATATAAACATATATGAGTAATTGTAAAATTACATTAGTATTTTTACCAGCTAAAAAGTGGTTTTAAGTCAGTTATTCCAGAAGAGCTGTGGCAACGTCTCCAAGATGCTTCAAGAAAGACCTCTTTGCAAAGCTACCTGAAAAACTATTGCGCAAGTGCACCTAGGGCAAAAGCTGCTTTAAATGCAAAGGATGGTCACACTAAATGTTGATTTAATTTAGTTAATAGAAGTTAATTGATAAAGAAAATCTATTTATGACATTATTTTTGGCAGCATCCTCATTTTCCTCATTTTTTACACAAGTGCCTATTAGCCTACAATTAATGGCAAAATGAATGTTTGGGAATGTAAACTGATATTTTTTACTGACACACTACAGCAAAAGATAGAAATAACTGACTTGAAACAATTTTTAGCTGGTGAAAATACTAGTGCTGTAATAATTTTGACCACAATATATATATATATATATACGCTGAAATCTTCACAGATTTTAATTACGTTAAAATAAATACAGGATACAGTCACCTTGCCACAAAGTCTTGTTCCTCTCTCTCTTTCTCCCTTTGTTTCTACCATAAAGAACCCAGACAAAGTTTACAAAAACACTAAGACTGAATAATCTTATTTAAAAGATAGAAATAACTGACTTAAAACCATTTTTAGCTGGTGAAAATACAAGTATTCTAATAATTTTGGCCACCACTTCGGCCAGATTTCGCAAGTGTTCAAATTGGTTTGAAAGTGACTTCTCCGATATGGACAATCGAAAATTAACGCATTTTCTAGATACATTTTACCTACATTTTGATAATGTGACCCCATTTAGTCATGCATTTTAACATTTATCAATACTGAAACTTTGTTGAAATCCAATGTTGAATTCCTATAGTAGATATAGCCAACTTGTTTGAAACTTGCATTGACTTTTAACTTTCAACCCTGTTTTGACTTCCCTCTGAGTGGCTAAAGCATTGGTAGGTGACCTGTACAAAAACCCTCATAAGATACAGAGGGGTTAATTTACTGGGTTGTCTGCTAGCCTACTCCTTTAGGTCCACGCACTGCCCTGAGTGGTCGTTATAATTAGAGACCCCCGCGGGCGCGTCGGGTTTCACTCCGCCGCCCGGTGGTCGCTTCTCCCGGTGAGCTCAGCTGGGAACGGGAGGAAATATACGAGCTTCACTTGCAGTAATACACGCAGTAATATGAACTCCCTAACGATTTGTATTTGTAGTTATTGTAGTTGACGACGGAAAACATTCAACAGTGGTGCAAGTGGACATTTAAAGACAGTTTCATACTTTGCAAAACATGTAAGTAGAGTTTGAGTTTTTCTGAACAGACCCACCTTAACAAATCTAAGGTCAATGAATAACGCATAACTCGGATTCAATCGTTTTAACACCATGTTTATTTTAATGTATTAATTGTCTTTGTTGTTATTAAATTTGTTCTGAGAGTTCAAAACGTTATATCAATACTATAATATAGCCTAAATTCAAAAAAAAAAAAATATATATATATATATATATAGGCTAATGCCACTTTATAGCCTATAATAGGCCTAGGCTATAGCCTACTGAATAGGCTCTCAGTTTAAAAGAGTACTGTTGTAAAGCCATACCACGCAGTAGAACTGTATACTGTATGTGTTTGATAGTTGATATTGATATTGACGTGTTATATTGTGCCGTACTTGTTGTAACGCGTGCCCGAGCCAGCGCTATTTTGGGTCCCACGCAACGCCCCCCTCGAGCTCAAGGCATTTCGTGTGTCAGAGGTCACGCTGGTTATTCTTGACCGCGTGCGGAACGCTTCTGCTGCCTATGCATGCAACTCTGATAAATACTCATTACATTAAACTGAAACGTCTTTAACAATTTAAATAAAAATAATAACATACGTTACTATTATTATAGAGATAATACTGTATATGCAATTTTTTGCCATTGACTTGGTATGCCACTTTATGCCAACCTGCTAAGAGTTACTTGCACTAGCTTAGTGTCTCTTAGAGGGATGAGCACTGTTACTTATTGTTTTGACAATGATTTCTGTTATAAATATAAAAACATAGGTGGTTTAAAGGAATAGTTCGTCCAAAATAGTCACGTTACTGTAGCTAGTTCTGGAAAAGAGCTGCTTAAAAAGCTTAATTAAAAATTTGGGTAATCAATTCTTCCTTCTGGGTGAATAGTTATATCATGCCCAGTGTCATGTTCAAAGGCAGTTTTAGACACTTCACTTCTTTGTCAGTGTTTTTGTAGTTGTCAGGATAGGCATAGTGACGTATGTTCTCATAAAATAATTGTCTGTGCTCTGCTTAGGTGATTGTCCTGTGGGAGTGTTGCGTTCTGTACGTGTGAAATGCTTTAGATGCTGTTGTGGTGAGTTCATGTGGATGAAGTTTCCATGTAACTCTCTTAGTCATTTAGTGTGATTTGACTGTGATCCCAGCACTCAGATTCAGACATAATGCACAGATTTGTTTGATCTCTGGGAATGTGTCCGGTCTGTGTTAATGCCTGCTGTGTTTTCATTGCACATTATTATGCCAGTATGTGCACTCTCGTTCTCTCTGTGTTCTTGTTCCTGTGAGTCCAGCTCAGGATAGCACACATTCTTCCACCCCTCTGTTCTCTAACAGAGTCACGTTCTGCTGCAAGGACACGCATTCACATGGTCACAGAACGATTGATGCAATGACATTTTGCCATGACTTTCTGATTTTACTGTTTGTTTGAGAAATTTGTGTTTATCCAACACTTATACCCCCAGTTTCACAGACAAGGCTTAAGCCTAGTCCTAGACTAAAATGTAAATCTGAGCTGTTTCAACTGAAAGAAACTTGCACTGACTGATCTGAAAACATGTCAGTGCCTTTGTTTTGTCTTAAGATGAACACCAGTAATGCTTTTTTCTAAGGCATGTTTATAAAAATTACTTAAATGTCCTAATTGAACTATGGCTTAATCCTGGTTTAGGCTAAACCCTGTCTATGAAACCGGTCCTTAATCTTTAATCTTTATGCTGATAAATTTAAACATGCCTCACAGATTCTGAAAAAATGGCAGTTTTGGCTCCCCAGAGTGTGCCATTGCTTTAGGTGTCTACCCACAGGAACTTAATGGTCATACTGTGCAGTACATTCAGTATGTTCAGTTTCCTCATCATATGTGTCTTAATACAATGGATAAAATATTAAACACACACACAAAATACACTATGGAACTCAGTTATTTCTGTGTTTCTAATCAAAGTCCCTTTAAGGCAAAACCATACAGGGAGTGACATGTCTTGGGTATTCTATAGTCTTTGGTTTCTATGACCTCTAATATGAAAAACCAGCCAAAAATGTTTCAAATGAAACTTTATATTTTGAGAATATTGCTTTCAGTAGTACTCAGTTTATTGATTTTTCAACTGACATGTCCTCAAATTAATTTTTGGCAGGGAAATAACAGCATAAACAACCAGTATTAGCAATGGAATTCCTATTTTCAAAAGATTGTATAAAAAAGTTATTTTATAAATAATCAGCTTGACAATATTGTATCATATTTCTGTAAGTCTAGTATACCCTTCTTATAGAAATGCTTCCTTAAATTACCAAACAAGCATTTAATAATAGTTACAGAGTCAAAAATGCATGACAGAAAGGACCCTGTGTCAAAGGAATGTTACACTCTTAAAAATAAAGGTGCTTCAAAAGGTTCTTCACAGCGATGCCATAGAAGAAGAACCTTTTAGTCTAAATGGTTCCATAAAGAACCTTTAATATCTGAAGAACCTTTCTGTTTCACAAAAGGTTCTTTGTGGCGAAAGAAGGTTCTTCAGATTATAAAAAGGTAAGAAAGAGATGGTTCTTTAAAGAACCATCTCTTTCTTACCTTTTTATAATCTGAAGAACCTTCTTTCGCCACAAAGAACCTTTTGTGAAACAGAAAGGTTCTTCAGATATTAAAGGTTCTTTATGGAACCATTTAGACTAAAAGGTTCTTCTTCTATGGCATCGTGAAGCACCTTTATTTTTAAGAGTGTATTATTAAAGAAAGATTTGAAAGTTTTTTTTAAATGTTCTTCACACTAAGAAAAAAGATTCACTCAAAGGTTCTTTTGGAGAATCAAAAATAGTTCTTATATGGTATCTGTGAAAACACCATTTTGTGATAACACCTTTATTCTTAAGAGTGTAAACCTGGACGGCTAAGACATCATCTGTCCTCTCCACAGATGCTGCAATGCCTCAGGTTGTTCTCCACTGACCTCTCTCCGTGGGAACCATGACGTCACAAAGGACATCCAGAGACCTGCCCGATGAACGTGGCTCGCTCCCACTGGACATCGATGATGTCCACATACTACTGCAAGGTCAGATTGAAGCTTTTATTGAGCATAAAACTAAAATAAAATGTTGCTCATATCTGATTTGGTGTGTCATTATCTGTTATAGGTTTGACAGTATCGAATTGTATATATTGCAATAATTTTCACTTCTTGTTTGGACTTCATGGATGATTCTATGAATTCATTCATTCATTTATTTATTCATTCAACAAACTTCTTCATCTGTTTATTCAAAAGCAGATTAAAGTGATTTATTGGTGACGCCAAATGATATGGGTTAAAATCTCTCTCGAGATCTCTCTCTCACGCATACATACACCCAAACACATTATGCTGTGACTTAAATAAGGCATAAATAATGCATGGTCACGTGTTTTGCAGATTGTTTGGTAACAGACAGATGTAATTAAAGTTCTGTTGCCCTGAGTCATGAAGAGTTGCACAAAAGTGTTTTTCTAGAATACAGGGTGTGGGTAATTCATTTTTTTTTAATCCACAAAAATCTTCGCTGTCTCTGTTGTAGTGTCTTTGTTGTTGTTGTTTTGAGAGTAAAGTAATATGGATGTGTAGATAAGGAATAGTTCACCCAAAAATTTAAATTTGTTGAAGATGTACTCACCCTCAGGCCAAAATGTAGATAAGTTTGTTTCTTGATCGGAACAGATTTGGATAGTTTTAGCATTGCATCACTTTCTCACCAGTGGATTCTCTGCAGTGAATGGGTGCCGTCAGAATGACAGTTCAAACAGCTGATAAAACCATCACAATAATGTAATCAACACAACTACAGTCCACCAGTTAACATCTTGTGAAGAGAAAAGCTGCATGTTTGTAAGAAACTAATCCAACATTAAGGCATTTTCTTGCTTCTGGACAAAATATGACTCCACAATTGATAATAATGCTTTGTTCAGTGGAAAAGTCCTCCCCTGTTGTCCTCTTAAATCAAATTCCACCAACACATTTGTTTAGAACTGTTTGGGAATGTTTTCTTTTTCACTGGTAAGTGGTGCTGGCCTGGATCTGTGCATATTTCTCTCCTGATTCAGACAGGATGACATTTTCCCAGGAGAAAGCAATATTATGGATACAGGCCTCGTATTTTAACCAGAAGCACTGGTTTATTATTGTTAATTTATGGACTAGAGTCATGTGGATTGCTTGTGGATTATTGTGATGTTTTTATCAGCTGCTTAGACTCTCATTCTGATGGCACCCATTTGTGAGCAAATGATGTAATGCTAGATTTCTAGAAAAAAGAAGAAAAAAAACCTCATCCACTTCTCGGTTGGCCTGAGGGCGAGTAACTTTCCAGCAAATTGTAATTTTTTTAAATGAACTATTCCTTTAATGAACATAATTTAGGCAATTACTTCTGAAAAAACATAATTGCTCACTGCTCCTTTGTGGAGTCGAGGGGTTGTTCAGTTGCCAAGAACTGATGTTTTAATGTGTTTTCAGGCTACTTATTCTCATTCTGTCGTTTTTAAATCATTAGAAAAAACATACATTATGACTTTGGTCATTTTTTTCTGTTGGTTTTCTGAAATGAAATAAAAAAATCAGTGTAAATGACTAAAAACGGATAGCAGGTGAAATTGTGTTGCACAATATTTGTTTCATGTCTCAAGAATCAGTGAATAATTGATGTCTTAACATGTTGATCACTGCTGGAGCCCTGAGGATACCGTAGAACTGCATTAGGAGAAGCGTTAATCAGCACCTGTGTGGACATGCTGTGTGCGTTTCTTTTAGCATAAGTAAAAGGTGGAGCTTTTTTTGAAACCTGCAGTACTGGCACTGATCCTGAATTACTTCGCTAAAGGTCACCAGGCAAGTTGTGCCGTGTGTCTACGGTACTTTTCAGTTCTACAGCTAACACATGTTCTCCAGTATTTCAATGCGGGAGTTTCGCACTGCTTTGCTGTATTGCAAGATGAGGCTGGTTTCTGAAACATTTCTGTTGCTGCACACTTCAACATGCAACAACTGATGATAATACAGGGAATTCTGGGATAGCAAATCTGCTGACAGCAGCATGGGTGAGTTTGTAATTGGTTTGAAATTAGTTAAAAATAATGTTGTTCCTCTTTTGCAAAATGCTGAAAGTAGATAGACCAGACAGTGTGCAATAATAAAAATAACATTTAGTGCATTTTTAACTGACATTAATATTATTCTATCATGCACGTCTGAACATCATTGTGCAATCACCACTGTTGATGTCTCCTTAAAAGACAACAAAAAGAAGTTGCCTCATTTTGTCGGGGTTGAACACCCATCTGAAAGGTCTCCTAAGAAGAAACATGCATCACAAGGTGAGGTGCACATAATATGTATCAAAAAAAATAAGCAAACTTATAGAAAATAGATTTTTAAAAATAAAATAAGTGTTCAATATTGTCTTGAAAGAGTTCTTTCAGGATACAGTAATCAGTTCTAGTAATGTACTTGATTTTACTTCACTATTACTATGAGTCATTACAAAAGTCATTTGTTCATCGTATCTGTCCCGCCTGAATGAAGTGTCAGTCAAAAGCTGTCATTCATTTTCTGTGTCTTTTCTTTTTTTTATCTTCTCTATGGTTTCACTATTGTTTCCCCTCCCTCTCTTGTTCTCTCAAAGGGAGGTGTTGTCTCTAACGAGTTAAGAACTGCACCTCCCAAAACAAATTAGATTATATGATATGAACTTTGTTCAATGGAAACATTCCAGTCTTTTCTGTCATTGTGTTTCTGTAGAGTTCATTTGAATTAGGTCACCAGTAAAGGGGAGTGTTTGCTGGGAGGATTTTGTTTCTTTCTGAGGTGAATCGACAACTTGCCTGGTTCAGTTTTTGAGTTTGTGTGTCTGTCACAATTTTTCCCTCGCTGCACTTGCCTCACTAATTTCATTCCCTATATTCTTTTGGCCTCTTTTTCATTGTTGTCTGTTAGATATGATTCATTTTTTTGGACTAGGTCTCTGGTGTGTGACAAATCCCAGGAACTGAATCTGATCCCTGTGTCAGTTTCTGTCTTGCGTAACAGCAACACGAGCAACATGCAGTTTCATTTTTAAAGACAACAGATGGATGTCATTAATAAATGTCATTAATTACATTTGACTGAAACATATCAGAGTGATAAAAGTCTATATAAACAAATGTTTATTTTTATTACTAATAGAAAATACGTTCACAAGATGGTTACCTTTGTTATGGGTCTTTTTTCAGTTTTTCTGCAGGTTTCTTTTACCTATTGTGTATTATGTACAGTATTATGTACTTCTTCAGTGCTTGACATATCAGTTTCCAGGGTAGAAATGACCGTGGGTCAACTGTGTCAAGTGTAAAAGCGTGTTAGTATTTGATAGCTGAACTCTAAATAAATCCCTAGGAAACTTAGCGTGGGTGTCAGCTGATAACTTTAACCATTTCAAAGCTTTCCCTCATCCTGTGCTGCTGATACAGGAGTGTGTGAACAGTGATTGTCAAACCCTTCCAGTCTTGTCAAGGAAACTATTCAAACGCACATTCTCTCATTCTCTTTATGGGTCAGTCGGTCAAGAGCCACATCTCTGAGACATTATTCTGATAACTGGCCTGAGAGTCTTATTCATAGTGATGGCCATGTTTAGCAGTTAATGAGGGAGAGCTCTTTTAGAATCACCGCAGGCTGGCAGAGTGAGTCAGGTTGGCAGTCAGGTTTGTCTTATTGGTTTTTCAGAAACAGTGGTTGAAGATTTCACGTGTTCATTGAGAGGAGAGTTGTCAACACTGAGAAAACAGTGGTGTAGACTTGGTCATATTGTGAGAGATTTTAAGGTCCTTGTTTAAGAAGAAGAATGGAAGAAGTGGATTGTGAGAGAATGGGGGAGAAAGATGTTCTTCACACAGCTGATGAGCTCAATGACTTTGTGGAACTTTATAACGGTAAACGTAAACGGCACTCTATTTGATGTGACTACTTTTAGGTCTGTATTGCATTTCATGTATGTGGAGCGTATGCAAATTATTATGACAAAAGTTGGATGAAAGAATGAATGAATTCACTCTCAAACAAGTGTTTTTTCCAGTGTTTACATACATGTTTATTCTTCTACAGATTAAAACATGTTATTTAATTTTATTGGGGTAAAAGGTTATGCCATTGATACACATTTCATGTATTAAAATTGCCAAAGACAAACCTGTCCATTGTCATTATACCCTCCAAAATGTTATGGTTGAATACAAATGCACCTGTTTCGTCCTCATGCTTTTATAAGATCTATTCTTATACATCGTTTGAATTGATTTGAACACAGCACATAGCGATTCAATCCTGCAAATCATGTGTGTAGTTGTATAAGGTGTGTTCACTCCCTTTGTTTCTACATGCTGGTTTTCATAATGTTCTCCTCTCTGTTTTGCCTTCAGTTGAGCAGGAGCAAATTCAGAAAAGAACCTTCACGAACTGGATCAATGCCCAGCTGTCTAAGGTGAGGTTCAAAGTTCAAGAGCTCCTAAACCTGACTTAGAAAAGCTGTAATAGTGATGTTGTGTTTATCTGAATCATCATGGATTTCACTTGCATTATTTTTAATCAAGTGTATATTGACAGTGAGTAAATGCAACTAAATTACAGATAAATGACCGACATGGAGAGGTTTTTTTGGTAGAGGTCATTCCTGCAGGTTCTCCAATAGCGGAGAGGGAATGAGGGGTGGGCAGGGAGTAAATATAATCTTCTCAGACATGGGCCAGAAAGACAGACAGCAACAGGAGTTGGTCAGCACACACGCTTGTGGACACACATATTCACACCCACAGCTACTTATAAAGTGAGCAAATGACACGATCAGTTTGTCATGGCTTGACATCTTACGTGTATGAACAGAGGACGTATAAGAGGTGTTATTTTAGATAATTTCACAATGCTCTTCTCTCCGTATCAAAAAATGTATTTTTTAAAAAGACTGTCGCATAGCATATGTGACGTTTCGAGCACGCAGGCTCTTCATCAGACAAATGAACAACACTGATATTGCAAACTTTATAAGCCTACCTCCAGGTGATCAAAGGTCACATGACCATACAATATTATCGTGATAATAATAATACCAAAACAATAACATATCAACCAAGGAGAAAAACATAGAAACCAAAAAATAAAAATAAATCAAGAACATATATAAAGCTATGCAAAATACACAAATGTAATTCTCAAAATATTGTTTAATGACATTAATTGATGCCTGCCTGGGTACATAAATACAAATCAATAACCACAAAGCGTTATTTATTATATATAGATAGATATCTTATGTTTAAAGAAATGGACGAATATCAAAATCCTCATTTAATCCTCTAGGGGACAACGTATCTAATGTATATATCCAAAAGGCTTCACGCTGTAAGACAGTCTTTTTAAAAAATACATTTTTTGATACTTTTGGAGCTTTGGTGTTGCCGACTTTGCATCTAAAATATTTCTACTTGTTTTTTGGTCGAGCACCCAGTTGAGATCGATGTGCGTGCTTTTGCCTGCTCTTCTCTCCGTATCCCCAGCAAACATTTACTAATGCCTGGAGCTCTCGGTTTTATGTAAAAGGTTTCAACAGGATAAGTTCACACAAGCTTGTTTGATTTGTCCTATAGACATGTCTAAAATCTCATGAATTATTGTAATCACAGTTAATACATTATAACACTTATCAATTCATTGTTACACTATGAATTTAAATTTGGTTATACTTCTTTACAACAAGATATAATGTATTACAACGCACATTATGAATAATTATAATGCCTTATACCCTTTAATAACCCTAATGCATTATACATAAAGGCTTTAAGTGAAGTGTTACCAAATTTTGAGGTGATATATGACCCAGAAATGTTTTTGTGCCTGTATGGATTAGTTAGGAATGTATATATTGTGTGCATTCTGGTGTTTAATATGTAATATTTCATTTTGCTCTCTCAGAGGAGTCCCCCAGTTACAGTGGTGGATCTTTTCAATGAATTAAGAGATGGAAGCAGACTATTGGACTTGCTGGAGGTGTTGAGTGGTCAGAGAATGGTAAGAGTCTGATTCATTAATGGTCAACTGATTTTTCAGTAACCTATGCTGATATCTAGAGAACAAGGTGGCCTTTGCCCAATATATATATATATATATATATATACATCTATACCTATACACCTATAATACAGCAACATTTAATGTAGATTTTGAGAAGAGATTAATATTTATTTTGCACAATTATACTGCATATCTGCTTAAAAATGTTTGAAAACAGAAGAATGTGCACTATCCATTGACTAGGTTATTTGGAACTAACACAAGCTGAGCTGATATTTGGTGGCATGATTGATAAACTCAAAGTATTGGTAGATATGCCAATCTATTACAAAACCATGAGCAGTGATTTTGTGATAACCACAACCTACCTTCATTTTAGAGCCGAGAAAAAGGAAGAGGGACATTTCAGCACAGAACAAACATTGAGAAAGGCCTAGCGTTCCTTAAGAGGAAATCGGTAAGATGCACCACAGTGGAAAATACTCATGGAAATGTATCAACACATTAATGCATCAACACAATATTCGACTTTTTCTCCCACAGGAGAAAGTTTTCAAATTTAATTGTGTGCAATCAATTTAAATTTGTAAAAATAATTTAAAAAATAGTAATAAGTTAATCCATTTGTGCTGAAACTACATTAATGCTTTTTTTTGTGTTTGTTCAGGGGATTTCTGTTCCCAGTGTACATGCTTTTTTTATAAGAGTTTCTATTATGTTGGAGTTTTGGGGTTACCATTGTTGTGAAGAGAGGAGCTTAGGCTGAGCACAGGCTAATGAAAGTGAAAATTATTCTGTGTTGCTTTGAAAAACAATCAAATTTTTCTTTGCCCCTCCAGCCAACATCATGCATTTCACACGATTGTGTGAAGAAAAGCATTACTTTTAGCTCACTGCTGCATGGAGGTGAAATATGAACATCTGTTACTTTATCAACATCTTTGTCCTGCAGATCAAACTGGTCAACATCAGTGTCTCGGACATCATGGACGGGAAGCCTTCCATCATTCTGGGTCTCGTCTGGACCATCATCATGCACATTCATGTAAGTTTACTGTCACAGTCTAACAAAAGAGTTGGGTTATATTAACCATTAGATTTAAGAAGTCCTAATAAAGTGTACCAATACAAAATGTACTACAAATATTCTAAACTGAGGAGAACGATTGTCAATTTTGTGATTTTTCTGATTTGTCTTTTACATTGTTTAGATCGAAGAGTTGGCCAGCACATTGAACTTTAGTTCTCGTCAGTCGTCTCTGGAGTCACTGGTGAGTTTAGACACTCGTTCGACCAGCAGCAGTGCCCGCAGCAGTCCGGTGCCACCCCATGGTTCACCCCTGCACACCCGTTTCCGCGTATCTGCCAAGAAAGCCCTGCTGCTGTGGGTCAGAGAGCAGTGCCAAAAGTGAGGAACAACCTGCTAGAAGGGATTCTTGGGAACAGTGAGATTCTGTTTTATGAAACCAATTACCTTTTTCTGTCTTTTTTCACAGGGCTGGTTGTACTCTGAATGTGAAGGACTTTAAGGCGAGCTGGAGAAGTGGTGTAGTGTTTTTGGCGATACTTCTTGCTCTGAGACCGAATATTGTGGACCTAACCAGAGCCCGAACAAGAACCAACAGACAGAACCTGGAGGAAGCCTTCCACATTGCTGAAAGAGAACTTCACATCCCCAGACTACTAGATCCAGCCGGTAAGTGTGTGTTTATGCTGTGTTGTTTTGTTGTATAGTATGCAAAAAGCAGTGATAATTTTAGGCTTTTGTTTTCTATACGACATTCTCATAAAAGAATGGTGTATTTGTATTTCAGATGTTGATGTTAGGGATCCTGATGAAAAGTCTATTATGACATATGTTGCTCAGTTCCTGCAGTACTCTAAAGATGCTTCTGTTTCTGATGAGGAAATGCAGGTAAGCCACACACACACACACGCACACACACACACACAAAAGTGTACACTTTTCTCATTTACTTTTTATGCTGTTTACAATGACTATACCCTAAATCTGGTCTTTCACATGCCTTTGCCATTTATTTATTTTAATAAAAATAATATTTTGCCCATCTGAACCATTTTTACTAGTGAACACTATACTCTCAAGAATGGAAGTAAGGAATAGTTTAGCCAAAAATTTAAGTTCTGTCATCATTTATTCACTCTCATGTTGCAGCTATTCCTTGAACTATTTCTTCAAGATGTTTTACTAGGTTGAATCGTAATCACAATTTTTGTCATCACAATTAGAAATTTTCCACAAATCATGCACTCTTGGGTTTTACTATACTGTATATGTGGGGACGTTTTTATATTTATCATATTCATAATATATCAAAACGCACACAGGACGGTATTCCTCCAACATTTCATACTGTAAATCGAAATGCTCAAGTGACTCTTTATGCTCTCACATCTCTTTTTTTTTCTTCTTCCTCTGTTCTCTTCTTCTTTCTGTTTTTTCCCTCTCAATCGTGGTTTAGTATCTCACTCCTCCTCAGCGCCTCTCTCCTGTCAATCTGCCATCAGAATTTACTCCTTCTATAGCTGCATCACCTTTAAGACAGGTACTTCTATCTGCCTGTCTCTCTCTCTCTTAGTTTTAGCTGCTGGATTCATTAATTAACAGTTTTTTTTCTTTTAGTTTTGTAAAGGTGTGTTAGTTGTTTTGTTACTAGGATTATTCACAAATGTCAATGAAAGGTTAATTCAGACTTGTCGGGCCTGTTGTTTAGCCCTAAACCAGTGTGTGAGTAAATGCAGTATATACACTCTCAAAAAGGTACAAAAGCTGTCACTCACATGGTACCTTTTCAAAAGTTACACCTTTGTACCATATTTACCGCTAAAGACTGATTATACCTTAAAGGTACATATCAGTACTTTTTGAAAAGGTACTGCTCCAGCGGCAGCTTTTGTACCTTTTTTTCCTGAAAGTGTACTGACACATAACATGTTTTTAGGCTTCTCTTTTAATAATCAAGATTTTAGGTTTAAATTTATAAGAATATATAAGGAAAGTGTATATCTTAGGTTGAAGTATGTTATCTGAGGTTCTTAATGATTTTAAACTTTTTGACTGATTTTGACTGAAGAGTTTGACTGATTTTTGCTATGGTCCACTTTTGTAATTGTTTTACTTGAACTGTTCTCTGATCAGGCTCACCTGTTAATGCCCTGTCCAATCAAATCAGGCCCTCCCAAATCACCTGAGACAGCTCGAGCAGCTGCTCCTGGGGTAAAATATCAACCCCATCCCCTTTTATGATGCCCCCTGTGCTGCTCAGTAACTACTAGTGTCTTGCATGTATAAACATGCTGATAACTGTAAACTCAATTAGGCCTATGTAGATAACCCCAGAAATTACAGAGCTAATCCATTAAAACCAGATGTTATAGAGATAATCTGTGGAATTAAAGAGATAATTTTTTTAATAAACCAGCTCTTGTGTTTGAAGATTCTAATACACTGAACCTGAGCTTTCGTGGCACTTAGCTGAAGCATTTTAATTACAGACATGCTGAGTAAGTTGGTTTGTGTTAAGAACTTGCTTCCTCCAGAGGACTACAGTACTAAACTCTGATTACTTTACTGTTTAGTAGTCTATAATGCAAATAGTATTTAACTTGCCGAGTTGTTTAATCCATATCATTTACTTAAGACTTGAATTGATGTAAATATTTTTGTTTTGTATACCTTGATTATAATGACACCATAAACTAATTATTAATGGATAAAAAAATCAAAGGCTGTGTTCGAAATCGCACACTCTTTGAGTCTGAGTAGGTACTTCTTTTGAATAAGCAATTATTTCACAAATCAGCACATTAGCCATGTTGTCATTGTCATGTGCCCTAGCAGTGCGTTGCTTACTAAGTAATCTGGGTACATTTCACCTACTGTTTTATGAAAATTATGAATTCAAACATGCTACTCTTTTCACATACTGTTTAGACTACTATAAAGTAGAGAAGTATGCGATTTCAAATGCAGCCAAACAATTTTTGTTGTTTCTGTTGATCTTTCTTTTTTGTTCCTGTCTGTCCAGACCTCAGCCAATCAGAAGGCTCAGGAGGTCACATGCTGGTTGGATCAGGCCTATCAGGAGCTGATAGAGGGGTGGGACTCCACTGAAGGAGAGAGCTATGCTGAGAGATACCAAGTAAGACCTGAATTCTTATACATTGATATAGTTTTATTTTAATGAATACAGTCCATAATGCAGAATGAAACAAGATGCACAAGTTATTCTGGGAAATACATTATTGAATTTGAGCAAAGAACATTTATGTATTGATTTTTTGATTGCTGAGTTGATTGATTTATCAGCAAATTTTGTGAAATATTATTTTATTTCATCTATTTGAATCTATTGACTGTGTTGAGATACTGAGTAATAATATCCTGGCAATAAACTGAACACATTTGCAGATTTGTTGCATGAATGTTTATTTACTTGTGTTTCAGGTCTTCCACACCTTCATTGTGTCCTTTAACGAGCAGCGGCGGCCTGTAATGCCATTACTAACAGCGATGAAGAGGACTCCTCATCTTAGTGCAGAGCAGAAAGCTCTTAGACGAGCCTGGGATGCTCTTGCTGAGAAGGTCACTGCATCACAGAAACTTTCTCTGTTGTGTTACTTGTTTGATATTTTATGGGTTTTGAGAATTCGACTGTGCGCTGAGATTCATCAGACTCAATAGAAAAACAGAAACATAACATGTCTAAATGCATGTCATCTAAATAGAAATTCCTACAGTAGAAGTCTTATGCTAATTTATGTCTATGTGTAGCTACGTGAGTATAAAACAGAGCTGGACCTGAGCCTTCCATCCCCACTGGATACTGTAGGCCGCTGGTTATTGCGTATTGAAGAGGTTTTATCTGCAGAAGAGGGCGAGCCAATAGATCACGCCCGAGCCGCAGAGGAGGCTCGGGAGAAACTTGAGCTACTAAAGGTTTGACTGACTGACTTCTTTTTATTATGGCTATAGAGCCGTTCAGCCATGAAAATGTAAGTAATGTCATATTTCTGCCTGTGTGTTTATCTGCAGGTGTGTTTGGAGGAGATGCCACATCATATCAAGAGGTTTAATATGTTTCAAAACACAAATGAGTTTGGAGAGGCTCTGGTGCCAGCAGACAAGATGGAAGAGATGAAGAGAAGGTGAGTTTGATTGCTTAATCAGACATGAGTCATATTGCAAATGAAACAGCATCACTTTTATTTGCAGTATTGCTGTTCTTGTTTCATGAAATGCAGTAAACTATTTAATATTTTTGTGTATGCGTCCATTTTCCAGGTTCACCAGTGTCCGTGTAACAGCTAAATATCATGGTATTAAGCTGGAGTACCGTGAGCGCAGACACACAGTGTTAGACCTGCTGAATCAACTCAACATTAAACTGCGATCTTGGAAAAGAGCCTACATTTCCCAGGAGGCTGTTCGTGTGCTAATGCAGGACTGGAATGTGAGTGAGAACTTTTGTGAAGTCAAATAAAGTGACAGAATTTTAAAAATATATTTGCTGCTGGACATTGCTTGGCAATTAACATTAAACTCTGAAATTATGGATGCTTTATACTTGGATCACAATTAATGTTTTTAGGAGACTGTGAACAAACAGGAGCTGACTTCTTTGCTGGATGGAGCCCTCCATAGACTCAAACTAATCGCGAACAAATACACCAGCAAGGCTGCCTTGGGTAATACAAAGAAACTTTATATGCATGCTCCTAAAAGACCATAAAATTATAAAATAAAGAAATAAACTGTAGATGTATGAAGAACTGTAAAACTGTTAAACATTTACATCCTATGCACTTTTTTGTGAAAAGTGTTGTTATTGAACAATCAGTAATTATTGATATTCTGATGTCTGCTTCAGCTGGAGACTCGACTCAGGTAAATCGTCAGGTGGCTGATCTGGAAGCAGATGTGATAGCGACTCTGGAGGGTGTACGGATGGTGAGGGGAACTATGGGACGCGTGTTGGCAGCATGGGACTCTTACAGTGATATCTACACCTCAATGCGAGCATGGCTGGAGCAGGGTCCACGTGCCCAGCGACACGGACAGAGTACAGAGGTGAACAAACACATGAGAAAACTTTGAATTTACTTTGTTGCTCTCAATCCATGTACTGGGTAGACAAAACTCAAATATTTTTAAGGCTGTTGGTGTTTTTTTTCCGAATATAAACATGCCTCTCCCATTGATTTCCTAGGTGACATTATCAATTATGTCAGAGTGGAGTTCCCGCCAAGCTCACCTGAATGAGGTGGCCAACTACTTGACAGAGGTCACAGACCCACAGACAAGCCGTGCTATTTCAGATGAACTCTGCAAGATAAATCTGCTCTGGGCTGACTTTGCCAAAACAGCCCAGTTTGTAAGTTACCCATCATGTTCAAATTTGAATACTCCATGTGCCATCTTAATCATGAAATAAAGTATTAAAGAAAAGTCTGCTTATCTTTAATAGGGAACAATACATTGTTTTGTCTGATTGCATTGGACAGAGATTGTAGTTAATAATTTGCTTCTATAAATATAAAATAGAGTGCCTTTTGTAGTATTTTGAAGCAAGTTGCATATTTCAGTCTTTAGCTGAGGAGCCCAGTGCTGGCCCATCCAGTCCTCAGACAGTTCAGTCTCTGATAAGGGAGGCCACTCAGTTAATTGAAGAACCTGTGGAGGTCGTTTCTGGATCACTACGTACTTACACGAAGAGATTACAGGTATGCAGCGTGTGCACATACTTACACACACACTCCCACATACATAAAAACACACAATATATACTTTGTATTCTCTGTTTTTTATTAGTAGATATTTGTGATTTTGTTGCTTTGTCTTTTTGTTTTCTAAATTAAGGAATAGACTAAGTAGGATTTAGCTTAAAATTGTTATTTCTCACAGCTTATGATGAAGAAAATAAAGGATGTGGATCTAGAAGCCCTCTTGCCATCTCTAGACTGCTCTCCAGAAACCCTGAGCAAACTTCAGCAAGCCATTCCTGAAGTAAGCAACCACATTGCTTTGGTTGGCCCCTTAGGTCTTCTTGTGCATTTCTTGCCTTCATGTATACAATCAAATTATAGACATATTAGCAGAATATAACTTTTTAAAATGTTAATCTAACACAAATAATGATCTGTATGTCTGATGTCTGTATGCATTTCAGTTTTTTCTTTGTTTTGTTTTTGTGTGTGTGTGTGTGTATCTAGGTCCTGCAGACACTCTGTGAAGCTGAGCAGGTGTGTGATGAGCTGCGTGTGAGTGTTAGTGGGTTGGACGGGCGTCTAGCCGAACTGTTACACTGGGAGATGGAAGCCAGAGATCTCTATCAGCTACTAAAGGAGGAAGCGCACAGGCAGAAGAGAGGACAAGATCCCAGAGCACGGGTGAGTATCTACAAGCACCACAAAATATTCATACATCTCCTTCCTTAAGTGATTTGGTATAAAGGACTCTTCTCTCTTTTCCTGTAGCTGTTGATATCAAGGGGTTTACAGTTAGAGGGTCAGGTGGTTATGGAGGAACAGGATCTGCAGGTGATGGTCATGACTAATCAAAAGACTTCACCACTGCAGTATCTCATTGCATCCACCATGCAGGACAGAGTCTGCACTGCTGTTGAAAAGTCACAGGTCTGTCCACTGCTTTTAGATTAACAAAAAAATGCTGTCAGCATGATTGCATCTATAAAATTACTTTAAATTAATGAATTAAAAAAGATCATCTATAAAACTGAACCAGCTCTTTTGGTAATTATCAGTTATGCCATAAATTATGTTTTCTGTTATTTTCCCACAATGCCTAGGAATGAGTAACCTTGTTTCAGAATTGTATGCAAATGCATTATGATTTTAAAATTCTGTTAAATCTCAACAGGAAGCCATAGGGATGCTTAGCTCTTTGGGGGCTTGCAGAGACCGAAGCCCTGTTAGAGACCAGCCCCCTTCCAAGATCTTTGTCCAATATCAGGAGACAGAGGAAGAGTCCCAAAAAACCTCCTTCCAGCCTGTCTGTCCATCAGAAGCCCCTGGCCAACCAGAACCTCAGCCTGCAGTCAGGGCCAAAGTTCCAGAACAATCTCAAATACTCTCAGAGGTATCTTCTAAAGCAGTAGACCTCAAGACCCAGCAATGTAATCAGCCTGTGCCAATGATTGTTGTGCAAGAGTATGAAGAGGAGAAAAGTAGTCCACAACCACAAATGCATCCCTCTGTGCAAGTGAAAGACTCTCAGTCCATTGAAGGTAAGTCAGAGAAAGTTGTCCATGCTCAAACAAAAATCGACATAGAGCATCATGTAGAAAGCCAGGAATCTTTACCACAGTCTGTGACACAACAACAGACAGAAAAAGGTCCAGTAGCTGGACAACCCTCACAGAACCTACAACAAGCAGAGTCACAAGTACATAATAAACAACAATTAGCAACACAGCCACATGTGCACATTCATCAACAAGAGAAAACTCAGCTTGCAAAACAGCAGAAGGTTCAACCACAAGTATCAATCCAGTCGCAGCCTCAGGGTCAACTAGAAACACAAACACAACAAGCTCCAAAGCAGCAGAGGAAAGTAAAGAAGTCCCAGGCACATCTGCAGAACAGACCTTGGCTTCAACAGAGGAGTCAACCGGAAAATGTTACCCAAAACTCAATGCCACAGTTGGTCCCACAATCTCAGTCAGAGCCTGAGGACAAATGTCAAATAAGTTCTCAAGCACCACCACAGCATATAGTAGCTGTTAGCTCACCTGAGGCTCAGGGACCTGCTCAAGGCACAGCACAGTCAAAAAGCATTGTTAAGAGTGATGAGAAACACCTGAAGACAGCTCAGTCTGTTGCACAAGAGAAACCTCTTGTAGAAACACAAAACCCACCTCAAACTGTGCCAGCAGTTTCAGCACAACCAGTGACTCCAAAACAACCACAACAGCCAGTGACTGTTCCAATTCATCAACAAGTATTTCCCCAACCTCAGCCCTCTTTATCAACTCAAGCTCAAACAACTACACAACAAACACAATCTACTGCACCCATTAAGCAACAAAAGCAACCTCAAACACAGATAGTGACACCACAGCAACCTCAAGTGATGATCCAGAAACAGGCACAATCACAATCCATGACTCCCATGCAACCACAGGTTATGGCCCAATGGCAGCCACAACAGACTATTTCTCAGCCTCATCCTGCAGTGCCACAACCACAAAGATTTCCAGTGACCCAAACAATGCCCCAAAGGCCAGTCCAACAGTACCCAACATCTCCCATTCAACCACAAATAACAATGCAGAGACAACAGTCTCAGTCCCAGCAACCCACAATGCGCAATCCGACTGTAATTACCCCTCAACCCAAAGGTGCATCCCCCATACAACCCAGAATCATCTCTATGCCTCGACTCCAGATGCCTGTTCAATCTCAAACCCAAACTCAGGTCAAAGCCCAGGGAAGTGCACCACATGTGATTCAACCTCAGGGGCAACCCCAGTGGAGTCAACCAGGAGATGTCACCCAAACGTACCCCAGAGTGCAAGGACCAGTTTCTTTTGCTGCCCAAATGCAATCACTGGCCCATTTCCAAACTCATTTCCAACCTCAAAGTATCCCTCCAACTCAACCTCAGCAGTGGTCACCAATAAGACCAGGCATAGTGAGCCAGACATACCCCACTGTCCAAGTTCCAGGTCAGGTAGTTCAACCTCAACCTCAAATGGCAGTTTACCCTAAAATCCAGCTGCAATCACAGCCTCAGCAGTGGCCCTCTGCTAGACCTGAATCACCTTGGGGTCAATCACAGATAAGACCTCAAGGTCCAGCTCAGCATATAGTGCCCTCTCAGCAATGGAGGCCTATCAGTCCAGAGAGAGTCAGTCCAGTATACCCAAGGGCTGAAACCCAAGGGCCCAAGGGACCACATCATCAGTCCCAATATCAAGCCCTACCAAGGCCAGCAAGCCCTCAACGTCAGTGGAGTCCAGTCCGGCCAGAACATCAGTTTCAAGTTTCTTCCCAGACTATGTTCCATGGTGCTCCCCAGCCAGTAGCTCCATGGAATCAACCACCTTCTCAAGCTCTCATAAGACCTCAGAGTCCACAACAGCCTCAGCAAAGTCAGCAAAAGTGGAGTTCATCCAGGACAGAGGCCCCATCTGCAAACCTCATCCAAAGCCAAGTTGCCCAGGCAGAGCTTCAGTCCCAAGATCTGACAAAGCTGCAGTTACCAGTACAGGAACCACCCCAACAGCAGTCAGCTCCTCGGGTTAAGCAGCCAGCACTTGCCCAGGCTCCCCCTCAAGCCTACACTGAGGCTTATATAAAGGCACAGGCCCTGGTGAGGGATAGATTTGAGGAAGCCAAGCACTGTCTTCAAGAGCACATTATAGAAGCTATCAATGTATTCAAGGACAAGAGAATGATGGACGAACAGGCATCAGTTAAGGAGGTTTGTCCATTTTAGACACTAGTTAGTTTGTTTGTTTTTTGGCTGTTTGCAACAGCCCAGTATCATTAAACTATATTGTTGTGTCTGTATGTTTTATAAGAGATTGTGGAAAATTTTCCCAAGTGTCTGTGTTTGGTTTTTGTTTCTTTTTTAGGAGACGCTTCGGACTCTTGACCCTGAACTTCTTGAAGAGTTCTTGAGGGCTGCGGAAGGGATGGAAGCTTTCTGCACCCCATCTGAACTTAGAGACATGGAGTTTTTCACACAATCTGTTAGAACACAGTGGAAGGTATCGGTGTAGTAATATTAGTGCTTGTTTGTCTATATCTGCAGTGTGACTTTATTGTTAACCATTTTTATTTTTGATACTAACTGAAATGCTCTACACTGTATTAAACTGATTGAATGTGAAGTTACAAATATTAAGAGGTTGTGTGCTTGCTGTTGTGTTTTTTTATTTTATTAATATTTTTAGGATGTTCGAGTGCAAATATCAGAATTTTTGAAGCAACTCAGATTTGAGTTAACCCGCCTGCATTTTAACCATATGGTTAAGACATGTGAGATACACTTTAAGAAGGAAAAACTCAACCATAGGCCTGAATCAATATCAGAATCAAAAGAAGAGGTAAAATTACAGCTACCCTAACCGCGGAGCATGAACAGTCATATGGACAAATGGGTGTGGGAATGAACTTCTCTTAGCTATATTTTATTTCATCCTTTGTTTTCTAAATTAAACATTTGCTTTTGGGGTCAATTAATCCCTTAATTTCTTGTTCTTGTCTTTCCTCTTAACCACATCACTCACTTGGCACATGACACAACTTTGTTTTTATTTTGCATGTTGCAAATGAAAATTAAAAATACTGCAAAATAAAACAAAACTGCAAAGTAAATAAATTACAGTATCATTAAATAGTAACAGTAAATAAATGATAAGAAGAAAATATGAGTAAAAATAACAAAAAATATACATATCTGTAGGTTTAGTTTTTTCTCTCTCTCTCTTCCTGCAGGCTTGTTTGTCTGCAGAAGGCAGTCTGGCAGAGGCAGGACAGCAGCTAGAAGCTCTGAAGGAGTTGTGTGATACTCTTAGCCCTGAGGACGCACACAGGCTCGCACAAGCCCAACTTAGAGAATGTGAGAGACGGCTTGCTGCCATCCAGCGGCAGTTCAGTGGAGACACAGATACACCTCCTTCAGACACTAGGTAACAGAAAGTGAAAGAGCCTCTCTCATATCACTTAATTTTGTCTGATAAAACCATTTATAAATTCATAAATTTATTTATTTTCAATGTCTAATAGTTTACAAACAGAGCAAACAAAAGAGCCACCCAATCAAAAAGCACCAACAGTCCCACCACCACCTGAGAAGCCCAAAGAGGTTATTGTTTCAGAGGTACAAATATATGATCATTTTATAGAACTTATGTTTTAAAATAAACTTCATATTATTCTATCTAAAAATCTTTGGTACATTTTGTTTTAGGCTGTTACACCGGTTAGCCCCCAGCGACCGAGAACTGTGGAGAAGAGAGAGATAGTGAAACAAACGAGTACAGAAGAGGACAGGTATGGATATAAAAAAGGAATAGCATAGCTATGTGTTTCTGTATACGATTGTGTGTGATATTGTTTCAGAATCATATGGTTTACATCTTTTTCTTGGTCTGCTCAGGTACCGCAGCTCCAGATTTGCATTACAGGCTCAGCTAAACAGAAATGAGCAATGCATGCTTGGAGATCGTACCTCAGAATCAGTCACTCCCACAGACCTGCAGAAACGACTGAGAGAATTAAAGGTAATGCACAGTGTTTTAAAGTTGGCCATTTTATATTATTATTATGCATTTTCAAATGACAATCTTTTTTGTCTGTTTAAGTCTCTGTGGGACGAGACAGAGTCTCTGTGGAAGGAGTATGAAGCGTTGTGTATGCAATGTGTTCAGTACAACGAACGAGCTGTTGAGCAGGACCGTATGGAGCTCACTGTCAGGTGGAGAGAGCAGAGGTCACAGTTACAGGGCAGGTATGACCATGTCAGACATGACATTACACTGACTTTCAGAGCAGTATAAGCTTTAATGTGTGTTTAAAACTACCGAGCTGAAATTAATATTCAAGTAAAAGCATATTACTACTTCTTTTGTTCACTTTCACCCTGTGCCACCCAAAGAATCATATGATCTGCTCAAATCCTGAGAAAATATCCTGTAGCCAGACTGTGAGTGTGTGTGTGTGTGTGTGTGTGTATGTCTTGTGTTGTTTGTTAAATAAGTCTATGCATTCTGTCAGGGTGGATTCACTGGGAGCAGCACTTGAGCTCATGGACTCTATTAAGCTGAAGATCTCTGAGATTTCTAAAAGGCTGGAAAATTTCATCAAAGAGCCCAAAGACATTAAGGGATATACACTAGCTAACCCTGCCATTTTGAGAGATGTGAAGGTGAGAGATATTTATATTTATTAATTAAACTTGTTTCTTATTGAGTTCTATTCATGGTTAACATTTGTAATGGAGACACAAATGTTATTTTATTTTGTTAAAAATATAATATAATATAATATAATATAATACCTGAGAGAAGAATGTTTGATGTACTGCATTTCATGCTAATTTCACTGCATTTAGTGGTAATTTCACTGTATGTAACTTAGCTCTTTGCCTCCATCCCATTTTTTAATCTAAATATTTACCTCTCCCTCTTATTTTCAGGACTTAGATGAAAGTATCCAGACAGAGATGGATCATCTGTCTCGATTCGACTCTGAGCCCAGTCATCTAGACTTGCGTGACCGATCACCTCTGACCCAGGTGGTTCTGAACCACAGATCCAGCCTGGACCGGCTCAGGCAACAGGTGCGCAAGAGTGACGCCGCTGCCCGTGCCCTCGACCGCTTCCTCATGTCCCTGCGCACTGTGGAGCTCGATGTCTCTTCTGTGCAAAGCGCCCCCAGCAATGATGCTGTTGTACTGCAGGACAGCAGGTCCAAGCTGACACTAATCAGAAAGGGAGTCAGCAGCCTCAAGGATAAGGCTCCACAGCTGGACCAGCTCTTGGGCGGAGCACAGCTCAAAGTGACCCAGGACGGGAGCCCTGTTTCCTGTCTGGACATGGTGGGGGTACTGGTTCACAGGGTGGAAGAGGCAGACGATCAACTGATGATTCAACAGAATGAGCTCCAGAAGGAACAGCAGAACCAGAGCCTCGGCCTAAGGAGGAAGACTATCCAGGCTGAGTTAAGGAAGGTGCTGGCGGCAGCAGAAAAACAGGGTCTAAAGGAACCCACTATGCCAGCTGTGCAACATCGGTAATGATCTTTCTTCCCTATATAGATCTCACGATACAGATGCTTTAGACTTAGAATTGTCTTTATTTGGGCTTAATTTTAATTTGAGTTAATTGAGATAAGATTAGTTAATTGAGAATATGATACAATTCATTTATATAATATAAATGTTTTTTTTTTCTATTTTTCAAGTTTTTAAAATTTTTCAAGTTGACTTACAGTAGCTGCCAATGTCAAGCTCCAAAAAAATGGTATGTTATGTCTATGTGTTCTCCTTCACTCTTTTAACACTGTGTTTGCACCTATGTTTAGGATGCGAGCACTGTCCGATCTGGAATCGCAACTGAACTCTCTTCGCTCTGAATACCAAAGCATCAAGAAGGCTCTGTCTGAAGTCTCTCCACAGAAAGAGCACCCTCATCCAGCAAATGAAGAGCTTGACTTCCTTTGGGAAGAGACTGAAAGAGCTGTATCTGACAGGTGGTTTCTAGACCTAAGTTGAGATATACTTTGATTTAATTCACCTATTTTTCTTTCGTAAAGGGTTCGTTTCCCCAAAATGAAAAATCTGTCCTCATTTATTTACCCTCAAGTTGTTCCAAACCTGTATTGATTTCTTTCTTCTGCCGAATGCAAAGGTGTTTTGAAGAATGTGGGTAACTAAACAGTTGCTGGACTTATCTGACTTCCATAGTATGGATGAAATGAAAGTCAATGGGGACCAGAAACTGTTTGGTTACCCACATTCAGGAGAAGGAAGCTCAAGTGTGATTGACAGAAACCCAGAGTGTTGCTCTGTGTATGTGTGTGTTTGACAGACAAGAGCAGTGCACTGTTCTTATGGAACTCCTGAAGAAATTTCAGAACTGTCGCAGTTACCTGGGCAACACTCTCCAGAGGGCGGAGCAAACAATCAATGAGCAAGCTTCATACATGGGCAAAGACAACCTACAGCGACTCCTTGCAAAAGTATGTCAACTTCAGACTAATCACAATACATACTAATGTTATAATTGCCAATTGTAATTTGCCATCAGGTTTCCTTCACAGAAAGGTAATTTTATACTGGATTTGCACCACCAGGGGTCAGTCATTACTCAGATATTACAATCCAGATGCAGATGCACAGTAGAGCTCAGTGTGAAGCAGTTTTATTTGAAATTCATCCTGTAATTGAATTTTGTATCAGCACTAATCACAGTTTGCTTCATCTGCATGTACAGAAAGGGCTTCACATGTCTTAGTCTCAAAAAGGCTTCTATTTCCTTTTTTGTTCTGACAAATCAGTGCCAATGTTCTATTAAAGGGTTAGTTCACCCAAAAATGAAAGTTAGTCCATGTTTTACTCACCCTCGAGGTATCCTAGGTGTATATGACTTTCTTCTTTCAGATGAATCCAGTCGGAGTTATATTAAATATTGTCCTGGTTATTCTAAGCTCTATCATTGCAGTCAGCAGGTGTTGCAGTTGAACAGTCCACAAGTCGTCAAATAAAGCACGCGCATCCATAATAAAACGTGCCTCACACGGCTCCGGGGGGTGAATAAAGGCCTCCTGTAGTGAATCCATGTGTTTTTGTAAGAAAAATATCCATATTTTAAACGTAATAAACACTTTTCTCTCACTTCCGGTTTCTGTCATACGCGGAAGCAGTTCCGGCGGATGACGTAGGACGTTGGCGTTGCGTGATTAGTTACGAATGAGGAGAGAGAACAAAATAAAATGCCGGTCACGAATTAGAAGTACAAACCGAGGATTTGTAAAGAAAAATGTTGGAAGATTTCGATATAAACCAAGAGGAGACTGGTTTTCCTTTACTAAAGTAAGGAAACTTTGCTTCCTTTGCTCCTATTAAGCAAACTCGCGAGACTAGCATATCTCAGAGGCGTGCGCGCGCAACGCATATTCGCTACAGGAGGCCTTTATTCACCCCCCCGGAGCCATGTGAGGCACGTTTTATTATGGATGCGCGCGCTTTATTTGACGACTCGTGGACTGTTCAACTGCAACACCCGCTGACTGCAATGATAGAGCTTAGAATAACCAGGACAATTTTTAATATAACTCCGACTGGATTCGTCTGAAAGAAGAAAGTCATATACACCTAGGATGCTTTGAGGGTGAGTAAAACACAGGCTAATTTTCATTTTTGGGTGAACTAACCCTTTAATCTTAATTAATTTTCATTTTTAAAATTAATTTTAATATTTGGGCAGATCCTCCATGGAGTGCAGTACATTTATTTGCAGAGTTATGACGAATAAAACTTTTGGTAATTTATTATCATTGTGTAGTCTACATTTAAGTACCAATAGTAGTAATAAGTGCTCATGTTAAAAGGCAGGATTAAAAACGTGTAGTTATGTCTTCCTAGAAAGAGTAGCTTAGATCTTTAACCATGAGACTAAGTATTTTTTCTGTTTTATCTCATAATGTTTCTAATAATGTTTCTGTCTGTATATTGTAGGTCGTTGGCATAAAGGAGGATCTTAATAGCCTCGGACCCAAGATGGAGGAGTTCAGATCTGTGTGCAGACAGTTGCAGTCCCAGCTAAAGAAAATTCCTGATTGCTCGGAAACTCCATTTGAGACAGAGGCAGATGCTTTGGTGGACTCATGGCTGGATGTGAGGATATGGAAAACATCTATTCACATGGATCTCATTTTGTTCAGTCATTTTAGTTTCTTGGTAAATCTGTTTGTCTCTCTGGCAGGTGTCAGAGAAGACAGACAGTTACATGGATAACCTGCGTGTGGGTCTGGAGTTGTGGGAGAAACAGCTGGTTCTGGGTGGAGAAGTGGACAGCTGGACTTCTACTAAACTCATTATCTTCTCAGAGTCTCACCCTTTCAGCAGTGAAACGGAGGTTGACAGCATGAAGGTGTGTCTTCAAAAAAAATTAATCTGCCTTGAAAGGATCCACAATGTTCACAGGCATGGACTTAAAGGCACAGTACTGTCATTCCATTGGGTCTTTTGTGTGTTTATTAGAATGAGATTCAGTGCCAGGAGGACAACCTTGAACACTTCCACAAGAAGTTACTGGAGATCCAGGAACTGATGCAGAGCAAAGAATCTCCTCTTGAGTTACAGGTAAACGTGCAGCTTATTTTTTTCTGTTTATTAACTTTTTGGACTTTTCTAATTGCTAATTATTCCTAACTTTAAATGCACACACACACTCTCTGTCTTAGGTAATAGAAACCAACCTGAGGAAGAAAATGGAGCAGGTGAAGGAACTCTTCTCTGACTGCACTGAAGTGTTCCAGGAGCTCCTCACAGTTAAAGCTCATATGATAGAAAAGATTGACACCTACCAATCATCTGTGAAGAATATACGCTCCTCAGTAGACATGATCAGTTCAGAGGATCGCGCAGAACTGGATGCGCATTTACAGGTATGATTAACAGACATGCAGACATGCGTAGCACACTGTTTTAATATATAACCAATTTTATTTTCTGTTTGTAGGACTTGTGTGAGCAGCTTTTGGACCAGGAGGAACAGGCTGAAACTTTGCTGAAGGAAATCAATCTCATGTCCAGCATTACTGGACCGCAGGCCTTGGAGGAGCTGACCAATCATAGTAAGCGTCTCAAAGACTGCATTGCGGAAACACGAGAGCTGATTCGCCAGAAGAAGGATCAAGGGGAGAAAAGCTTCCTTCAGACTATTAAAGGTCTGAGAAACTGCATTCTGCATTGTGTCATTGCTAAAATTAAACAAGTGAAAAAAGTGATTTGAGTTTTGACCATTTGTCCCACTGGATCTCTGCAGAAGAGTTTCAGTCATTTGAGGAATGGTTGCAAGATGAGCAGCTCTCTGTGAATGAGTGCTTTGAGAACCCTGAGAGGAAGCAGGATATAGAAATGTCCATGCAGAGACTGACAGTGAGTAACAGTGAGGTCCCAACCCTATGATTATGGTTTCCATTGTGGCTTAGGACATTTTGGAAATACTTTTTAGATAAAAAGACTTGCTGTATAATACACTGATTACAGGGACAGCAATCTGATGGCAAGAGTCACCAGGTGATTGCAGCCTTAGTCAAAAGCATAATTATAGAATTACAGGAAGGGTTCAAATTGAGTTCATCGGTACGGAGCAGTTTGTGTTTTCTTCAGAGTTTCCTGGCCTCTAAGGAAGGAGAACAGCGTCTGGCTCAGTTGAAAGAGAGGTTTGAGCAAGGGGGACAGGCAAAGCTCCCTGCTGAGGCTCAAGCTTTGCTCTCCACATGGCATCAGGAACAGGAAGGAGAACTGGCCACACTCAGGGCTCACTGCCAGGGACGCCATAAACAGCTAGATGATATCCTCCACAACCTTAACAGGTACATGGAAGAAGTTCTCATCATAGCTATTAGTTGTTACTTTTGTTTCGATTCATTCATGACTTTGTCTTTAGTTTGCATGAGGAACATAACCATTTGAAGGACTGGCTGCAGCAGAGAGAGCAAGTGCCAGAACAGAGAGAAAAACTGAGGCAAATCCAAGAGGATTTTCTTAAAGAAAGGTACCACTCACTATTCAATGTAAATAAACACAGTGCCAGACTTCATTATTGACTAAAATGCAGATAAGCCATATCGCAACTTCAGTTTTATTTTGATTAATTGTGCAGTCTTTTATTTCATGTAAAACCTACATAACTCCTACTTTCACCCTTAATCCACAGCGGTCGTGTGGAGGCATTCAATTACCTGTTATCTGCTGTAAGGATGCGTGGCCTGAGGGGAGACCGTCTCCTTGGAGACTGCGAGACCCTGATAGACCGATACCACAGCCTGGGGATTCTTTTGGAGAATCAGGCACAAGTCCATAAGACCCTTGATGATCAAATTGAAACATTCCAAACCAATGCAGAACAGAGCAGAGCCTGGATCAGAAATTTAAAGCAAAGACTTGAGTACTTGGGGACAGACACGCCAATGCAGGACAAACATGTAAATGCTCAGGTGGGCCCACTAACCCTCATTGTTTGGATTCTTTAGCTGTATTTTAGGGGAACAACTGGTTAAGCATATTAAGCTGAATGGAATGAGGAATATCCTCAGTGTATTTAGAATAAAATTAATTTTATTCTGTGTTTTAAGGCTGTTCTTAATCTAAGTCCTGAGGGTGATGCTAAACTCGTGGCTCTGAAAGAAGAGGGTGATGCTTTATGTGCTCATGAGATTTTGGAGGACACCAGAAGACAGGAGCTCATTTACACCCTTGAAAACATTGAAGATGAGTGGAAAAGAGTTCTGGATATGGCTCAGCAGCTAAAACATCAAGCAGAACTCCAAGACACTCTCTGTAGAGAACTAGAGGATCTACAGGCCCAGGAAGAGAGCATCCAGTCCTGGGTGAGAGAACAACTGCAAATGCTTCGCTCTTTGGGGAAGGACCTTCAGCCACATGAAAAACTTAATAAAGTGCAGGTAAAGACAGAGGGACATTTTTTTTAATCTAAATCTTTTCATGGCTCTTGCATGATTCTAACCCAGATAAAACTGAGTAAAGGTTGCTAGCCGTGCACATATTGTGTTGGGAGTAATGTCTGTATATCCTCTAGGCTGTCATAGACCTTGGTGATGAAGCCGATTCCAGATTGACCAGTTTACAGAGACAAGGACAACATTTATGTTCTTATAAAGAGCTTGAGAATGAGAGGAGGAGCCACATTGACCAAACCCAGAGAGCAGTAGAGGAGGAGTGGAGGAAAGTGCTACAACTTGCCCAGGAGCTCAAGAACCAGGTCAAGCATGAGGAATCTCTCTACAGAGAGTTACAAACTTTCTGTGATCAGGGAGAGGATGCTCGATCCTGGATTAGACATCTCAGAGAGACCCTGGATTCCCTTCTTGTGACATCTTCCAATCAAGAGAGGCTTAATGGAGCTGAGGTAATAGAGAGGAAAATTTAACCCTTAAATGTTTGTACATGAGAGGCTTGGGAAGGGACAGTGAGTAAGCCTAATTTATGATAAACTATAATATTGAAAATGGGGCAAGTACTCAGGTTCACTCTAAAGGCATACATTCGATTACATCATAGCTAAAAACTGTAGCCAACACAACACTTTCAACGCATTCAAAATGTGAGGCTACATAAATATGATTTGTACATGAAGTGAAGGGACAGGTCTTATTCCTTAGTTAAGAAACAAGGCCATACTTTCTGGAGCCATAAATATTTATTGAAAACCAATGAAGAAGCTTTGATGGGTTCCACTACCGCATGAAGAATTAAAGCATGACAGAAATTACGGTTTAGATGAATGTCTTGGCTTTGTTTTGTTTTTAGGCAGTATTAGCTCATAGATCTGAGTGGGACTATAAACTTTCTAACCTAAAGACGAAGGGAGAGAATCTATGTTCCTGTGAAGATCTAGATGAGGACAAACGTCAGACAATCCAACACACATTACAAAATGTACAGCAAGAGTGGATGGGAGTTTTGATGCAGACTCAGGAACTGAAGAACCAATCAGAACTTGAGCAGTCTCTTTCTAAGGATCTTCAAGAACAGGAGGAGAGCACACACTCTTGGCTTACAGAGCAGCATCTGAAGATCGAATTGCTCGGTGAAGAGACTCAGTTACAAGAGAGAATGAATGGAGCTCAGGTAAGAGACAAAGAGTGATATTCAACCTTCACCAGATATTCTTTAAATACTTAAAGAAAACAGTCTGACTTACTCGCTGACATGGTTTGCTTATTCTAGGCCATCCTGAACTCAGAATCAGAGGGGGATTACAAGCTAGCCAACCTGAGGAGGAAAGCAGAGGGTTTGTGCTCTCGAGAAGGCCTGGAGGAGAAAAGAAAACAGGAAATCCAGCTGAACCTGAGATCAATTGAAGAAGAATGGAAGAAGGTCCTGGCAAGTGCTCAAGAATTAAAGAACCAGGCTGAGCTCCAGGATTCTCTTGCAAGGGAGCTTCAGAATGTCTGTACCCAGGAGGAGAGCACCTGGACCTGGGTGAAGAACCAGAAAGATTGCCTGGACTCACTGGGAAAAAGTACTCATGGTACACAGGAGCAGATTGAAGAGAGACTAAGCAAAGCACAAGTAAGTAGTACAATATGGAGAAACAGAAGAAGAAATTAAATGTCTGTAGTAAAACACTTAAAAGAACTCTCTGTCTTTCAGACAATTCTAAGTCTGCACTCTGAGGGCAACTCTAAGATTGCAGCCCTGAAACAGACTGTAGACCATCTTTTTAACCGTGAAGATCTTAATGTAGATGCAAGACATTCTTTTGTTAAGAAAATTAAAAATGTAGAGGAGGAGTGGAAGACAACACTGCAGCAAGCACAGGAGCTGCATAGGTTTGATATGACAATTTTGTATGTAAAAATAATTGCAAACAGCACTGCTAGATGATTCAAATTAATTGCAAATTATCATATTTATAAATATATTCTGAGATTAATTGAATGGACATGGCTTTTTATGTACAGATCAGGGTGCATAATTAAATGCAATTTTTTTATGTGTTAAAAGTATAGCTTTTATTTTATATGTTATATTATGTTATGTTATGTTATGTTATGTTATTCCTCATTCTGCAGTCTGCTGAAAAGTGTAGTGGAACGTCTGGTGTCCTGTCGGTGTCAGAAGGAACAGCTTCAGTCTCGTCTGGATCAGGTGATCCTCATTCTGCAGTCTGCTGAAAAGTGAAGTGGAACGTCTGGTGTCCTGTCGGTGTCAGAAGGAACAGCTTCAGTCTCGTCTGGATCAGGTGAAACAGCAAAGAGCTGCACTGCCATGGCACTTCCCCTGGCCTGGTTTAGGGGATCGAAGGCACACATTGGAGCAAGCCAAGAGTCTGCTAGACCGTACCAGAGCCCTGACCCCATCTCTGTCTGCTGTCCGAGCGCTCGGGAGGGAGATGAGCCAGCTGACCCATGATTCCAACTGGATTGATCCATCCTGGGCCACCACAGAGGAGTGCATACCTGAGTTAATCAAAGATCTTACGGTAAGGCTATATAGGTGTGCTGTTCTAAATATTTCTGACTAATCGTGACTAATAGAAAATAGAAACTTGATTTATGTGTATGACATTCTTTTTTTATGTGTGCTTCTGAAGGAGTTTTGTGTAAATCTCGAAGAGGAAATCCGGAGAGAGCGAGTTTGTGCTCAGTTAGTTGAGCAGCACACTGTAGCACAGGATTGGCTGAGAGAGCAAGTCAAAGGTTTCGGTGCTCTGCCCACTGAACGTCATGGGTTACAAAGCTCTATTAACACTCTTAAGGTCTATTTAAATTCTTTGTTTTATATAAAATCGATTTATCCATTTTTCAGTTTTTCGTCAAACCTGTTAATAAATACAATTATATATATTTTTATTATAATTTTGTAGGCTCTTCTTCAGACCATAGACAGGGAGAAGAGAGAAATGAAAGAACTGGATACTGTTAAAGATTCCCTGATGGATCTTTGCACTCCAGGAGGTTGTGATGCCCTGACCTTAGAGGTCAGCCATCTTCATGACCTCTGTGTGTCCTCGGAGAAAGAGATGAGGGAATGGTTAGCTGTGTGTGAGGCCAGATTGAGTGACATTGACCTCAGGCTTGCTGGCAGGGAACAGATTCTCAGGGAGCAAGCAGAGAGTCTCCTAGATGAGCTGCGTGCTCAGGACCACTCTTTAGGATTTCTGGTGGATAGCCAGAATATCAGCCAGCTACAGGAAAACTGGCATAGCTTCAAGGTATTGTGGGAAAATATTAATTCATATATGTTCAGTTTGTTAGTTCTGAAACTTTAGAGAAAGTCAATCAATTTAAACCTCACTGTTTTTATATTCTCATAGACATGTGAGAGAGAGCTTGAGTCTTTAGAGGGCAAAGTTTGTGACCTTGGCCAGGCCCTCCAAATGGTCCCACCAGATGAGGGACCCCCCAGTGATGTCATTTATATAGTGGACACAGTTACACAACAATATTGCAGGTACATACAGACATGTTGCCTTTCAAATTAATTAAATTATCATAAATGTCTGTAATAATGTGCTTAAATCTGAATCCTGTTTATTTAATTGTAAAATTGATAGCATGTTTGCCCAAAATAGTATAATGCTATATTATATTACAGTGTAATACTTATTTATCATAAGTGCATTATGGAGAATCGTCATTATTTTTTTTCTCAGTCTGCGGTCAAAACTGTTGGAAAAGCAGAATGAGTGCGCAGACAGCACTGTGCAGTGTGTGAGACAGGCCTTACAAAACATACAGTCATGGAACCAGACACATGCAAATCCTCCCTGCAGCTCAGCCACATCCATGCAGGTGTGTTTGTATCTTAATTTGCATAAATTATGTGAGTGAGTACACAACAAAACATAGCACCTGCACCATACTGGTCCATTTGAACGAGTAAGGTTGCTGTTGCCTTTTAAACATGCAACATTTTACTCCTTAGGCTGCAACTGAAGAAGGTGTGAGACTGTGTAAAAGCCTGCAGGTAGTGCTGTCCCATAAAGAACTGCTGAGGGAATGTCTGGGCCCTGACTTGGCTGGCAAACTTGAAAGAGATGGAACAAAAGCACTAAACGAAGCAGACATTCACATGAATGACCTTAAACAGGAGCTTAAGGTGAGTATGACTCTGTGGGATGATGCTTTACATGAGATGTCTAGTGGTTTAAAAAGATGAGTCTGTGTTTCAGAATGTGGAGGAGAACGTGAAGCAGGAAGCTCAGATGTTGTCACTGGAAGCTCAAAGCATTCAGCTGGATTCACAAGTACAATTTCACAAACATACATATTAACATACAAACATATTTCTAGGCTTTTGTTGTATCTGGCCATTATGTGCAGTACTATGTATATATGATAAATACCATTTGTAGGTTTCTGCTGCGACACCATCAACAAAGGAGTCTGAACAGTCGGAATTTGTTTCTTCTTCATCGTTTATCACGGAGAGCTTTGAAATGACAGATGACAGTCAGCAGGCTAAGGTACAACCATCTGAAAACCTTGACAGCGAGATCCCTCTATGTGTAATCTCAGAAACTACAACTGAAACAGAAATTCACACTGCCAGAAAATCACGACAAACATTAGAGACTGAAACTGAACAGATTGATTTCCAAACAACTGTACTATTAACCACAGAGATGCTACCTGAACCAGCAACAGGAGTATATGAATCTGCTCCTCCTACAAGCAGCCATGGTGCAAATGAAACTGAAAGTGAGAATTTTGTTTCTGTTTCTTTGGAAACAAAGTCTGATAATGATGAGATTGCAGATGAAAAGATGCCCATTTCTTCATCTGCAGCTGTCCACAGCTTGGAAACCACAGTACAAGACACAGACTTGGAATTACTCAGCACTGAGAGTCTTAGCACAGAAGGACAAGTAAGCCAGTTGTCTGATGTAGTTGTGAGTTCAGAATCTTTTGCTGATAGAGCGGAGGGTGAGAAAATTGAAGCAGTGACTGCAGAGCCAGATAAAGAGGAAGATGTCTCATATATTTCACTTTCTCAAGAGGAACCTTGTGGAGAAGGTGAAGCACAGACCAAAAAGGTTACTGCGCTCATTTTAGATTTGGATACAGTGCACATAGATAGTGTAGGCACATACTCCCACACACCCACAGATGGTGCTACAGTGAAAGCAGCCTCTGCTAGTGCTCTTTTAAATGAAACGACACTGGGCAAACAAGATCATGAAACACTGGCCCCTCCAGAAGCTGAAATTTCTGAAGTAGCCATAGAACTAATTAGCATCCCATCTTCTCTTAATGAGCCAAGTATGGTGAATGTTTCAGAAATTAGTTTAGCAGTAGAACCAGAACAGTCACAGCTCATCGATATAGACACTAATGGACAAATGCAAACAACAGCAGCTCCACCTTCTGAAACGCAAGGTAGTGAAGACGCTGCTTCCAGAGGTATTGGAACATTTTCTTGGAACAATGGACCAAATGCTGCAATTGCTGACAGAGAGAGCAGCTGGACCACAAATAATGGCCCTCGTGAAATCCAACGCCGATATATTATTCTAGACTTCCATGAGGGGGAGGAAATGCAGAGACATCATGCTCATGAAGCTTCTCTTTTCAGGGAACCCACTGAGACACAGATTCAGGGATCAGAACATTCAGTATCAGAAAGAATGGAGACCGAATGTGATGCTAAACCAGAATCAGAGGTCATAGCCAGTACAAACAGACCTTTAGAAGCATCCGAGCAGTCTGAACTGGTTGAAGCAAGCCTAAAACTACCAACAAGGCAAGTTGGAGAAGTCATGCATTTCATTGTAGAAGAAGAGACAAAGAAGACCCCATCAGGTGATAAAATGCAATTCATAGAAGTTGATCCTAAACGTAAACCTCCAATCAAGCAACAAAATGAGGTAGAAACTGAGGTCCAACAAACAAACAAAGTGCATGTCTCAACAACAGTAGAGGAGAAACCTGAAGGTGAAGAAGCCATTGACATCATTTTGGGAGAAGGGACAAAGACCCAATCAGATGGTAAAGCACAATCCAAAGAAATTGAACCTGAACTGACACCTCCAATCAAGCTCCTGGTTGACTGGGACACTGAGGTACAACCTGAAAGAATTAATGTCTCATTAACACCAGAGGAGAAACCTGAAGTTGTAGAAGCCGCTGATGTGATTGTAGAAGAAGAGATGAACAAGACCCCATCAGGTGAAAAAGCACAATTCATGGAATATGAACCTAAAATGACACCTCCTCTCAGGAGAAATGACAATAAAACTGATGTTCAGTCAAACAAGGTAAATGTCTCATCACAAAAGGAGAAAGCTGAAGGTGAAGAGGCTGTGGAAGTCAATGTAGAAGAGGAGACAAAGACAACATCATCAGATAATAAAGTACAATCCATAGAAGTTGAACCTGAACTGACACCTTCAATCAAACAACAGAATGACCAGAAAACTGAGGTCCAGTCAGACAAGGTGGATGTATCGCCAGAGGAGAAAATTGAATGTGAAGAAGCCTTGCATGTCATTGAGGAACAGAATGACTGGGACACCGAGGTACAGTCTGAAAGAATTAATGTTTCACTGACACCAGAGGAAAAACATGAAGTTGTAGACACCGCAGATGTCATTGTAAAAGAAGAGACAAACAAGACCCCATCAGATGAAAAAGCACATTCCATAGAAGCTGAACCTAAACCGACACCACCAGTCAGACGAAGAAACGAAAATAAGTTTGATGTCCAATCAAACAAGGTGAATATCTCAACAACATCAGAGAAGAAACCTGAATGTACAGAGGTTATCACTGTCATTGTGGAAGATGAGATAAAGATGACTCCATCAGATGATAAAGCACAATCCCTAGAAGCGGAAACTATACTGACACCACCAGTCAGGCAACAAAATGAGGGTGAAACCGATGTCCAATCAAACCAGGTAAAACTGTCAACAACATCAGAGAAGAAACCTGGGGATACCATGCATGTCTCTGAGGAGGCATTGGTTGATAAAATGCAGTCCATAGAAGCTGAGCCTAAACCAACGCCACCAGTCAGAAGACGAAATGAGGGTGAAACTGAGGTTCAGTTAGATAAGGTGGATGTCATACCAGCACCTCCCAACAGACGACGTAAAGGTGAAAGGTTATCGTTAGATACTGAATCACAGATAGAGGGAGAAGTTCTTCCCACCCCACCAAGCAGAAGACATAGAGAGAAAATAGGAATTGAGAGGTATTCACCTGATTTAGAGTCCCAACCCACACCACCAGCAAGACGACATAAAGATAAAGAAGATAGAAGATTATCACTCGATCTGGAGACCCAACCCACGCCACCAGCAAGACGAGGTAAAGAAAAAGAAGGTAGTAAACTATCACTCAATCTGGAGACCGAACCCACACCACCAGTGAGACGACATAAAGAAAAAGAAGGTAGTAAATTATCACTCAATCTAGAGACCGAACCCACACCACCAGTGAGACGACGTAAAGAAAAAGAAGAAAATAGATTATCGTTCAATCTAGAGACTGAACCCACACCACCAGCAAGACGACGTAAAGAAAAAGAAGGTAGTAAATTATCGTTCAATCTGGAGACTGAAACTACACCACCAGCAAGACGGTGTAAAGAAAAAGAAGAAAGTACATTATCACTTGATCTAGAGACCCAACCCACACCACCAGCAAGACGACGTAAAGAAAAAGAAGATAGTCAATTATTGCTTGATCTGGAGACCCAACCAACACCACCAGCAAGACAACGTAAAGAAAAAGGTGAAGATAAAGGATTATCAATTGATCCGGATCCTCAACCAACTCCACCATCAAGAAGACACAAGGATAAGCCAGAGAGTGACATGTTATTTTACAGTGCTGAATTAGGAAAAAGTGATAATCAGCAAACCAGTGAACATAAAGACAGGGAAGAGCACACTGTTAAACCAACTCCACCTGTCAGACGCAAAATTAGTCAGGTTGAAAGTGATGTGGCAGTTTGCAAAAACCAAGAAGAGAAAGAGACCTTTGTGAAACCCACACCACCAACAAGAAGGAAAGATAGCAAAGTTGAGAGCGAAATTGTCGCAGGTACTTCTAACCTGAAAGAAGATACGAGCATACATAAACCAACTCCACCTCTGAGGCGAAAAGACAGCCAAGCAGAAACTGAGATGGCTCGAACCACACCTAAAAGTCAACCTAAGGAAGTCCTTCCAACTCCACTTACCAGGCGAAAGAAAGATCAAATAGAAGCTGACAGAGTTCCATTAATGCCAGAAGAGCCACAGGTCATATCAACTCCAACAACCAGCGACAAAGGAAGTTCATGGAATGAAAAGGTTTCTATGTGTGCAAGACTGGAATTGGAAGCAGATGTTGAAGCAATAACTAAACAGGAAGATAAAGATGAGTCTGATACAAAGTCATTGGTTGGTCAGGAGCAGCAAGAGGAGGGGCAGGACTCTACTTTGGTCCCAGAACCCATAAGTGCAATCAGTCAGACAGAGAGCGTCAGTGAGATGCAGGTAACTTTAATGTGCATGATTGCACCAAAAGGAACAAACCTGCATGAGGTATGATGGTGTGGTATCTGCATGCTGGACTGTAATGGAAGTGTTCAACTGAGGATGCGTGTTAGGGCCAAAATGAAGTGTCCTTAAGATATCTGGATATTTGCTTTGTGGGGTGAAATTAATCCCCTTTTTTGCAACAGTCCAATTGTCTACATTCCCAAACACAGCTAACACATTAGGTTTTAAGTCTAATGGAAGAAGAAATCTTCCAACAAAGTTTCAATTAACACCTGGAGCTCCTGAATAACCCTCTTATTTGTATCTTTATATGTTGGTGTGGCTCTGGCTGCCTTACCACAGAGAAAATCCCATCACATTCAGCTCCATGCATACAGTCATTACTGCTCTCTATCAATGAATAAATACTCTTTCATTCTTTTAATATTGTCATGTTCACAGAGAGGGCATAAGAGGGCAATTTTTTTCGGTTCCATCAACTCTTCCTTATGGCACTGTAAATGTTGGCAATGGCTTTCTGAGTTTTAATTTGTGTTTTTACCCATGATTGAGTTTGCTTGAATTTACTTCATTAACTGCTCTAATATCTCAGTTATTTGTCTAGAATCGTTTATCCTGTATATGAGATGTTGCAGTTGCTAGTCTTCAGTTCTGCTAATTTTTTGTGTGTTGCAGCCACAAGATCAAGATGTGGATGTTTCTCCCCAAGTTGGTCTTGTGGCTGAAATCACTGAGAGTCAAGCAGAGGAAGATAGGGAGCCAGAGGGACCCACAATGAAGGATATATTTATGGAGATCAAAAAAATGACTGAAAAGGGACCAAAAAGTGTACTCATGGAGGTAATATTTTAAATTGTTAACACTGTAACATTAAATTCAAAATACTGAAAGTGATTTAAACAGTGTCAAGACATAAGTTTAAAATAAACATAAACAAAATTATATGTGCAGTATGTCAACTGTTCTTTCAAAAAGCTTTTTTTTTAGGGTATACCTCATGAAAGTACAAAGAAACTTCTTGACACTTCCAGCACTGATCTTGAAGCTCGGTTAAAAAGGCTAGTGTTCCATTTACTGGACCTTCGAACTTGCCCAGCTGCTCTGAACTCCAAAGACATGGCCAAACAACTAGAAGAGGCTGAGGTGGGACAACCCAATAAAAATATCAGTGTGTGATGAACTTACACTTTACGTATTACTGATTGTTCTATGTCCTCTTGCCTATTTAATATGTAAAAGTAGTGTTGCTGATTTTTCAAATAATCATTTATATTAGAATCCTGATTTACGTTTGGAGGTGAGCACATTTAGTACTTGTATTGTTATGTTATTTTAGGAATGTAGAAGGTGTGCCCAGAGACAGGTATCTATGCTGTCTAGGCAAGACCAGGCTAATGGAGACATTGGCAGTGGCACTAATGGCACAGTTCATGACCCTGAGGGTATGCAACAGCTGAGTGCCCAGTGGAGTGCAGCTTTGTGGGATGCAGCAAGCTCTGTTCACTCCAAAGAAGCTCAACTACAGATGGTTGCAGATTTCAACAGACAGGCCCAGAAAGTCAAAGCTATTCTGGAGAGACTCAAAATTGAGCATGCGGCACTGAGATTGTACGTATTTACTACTAAGCAAGTTGTTTCTGTACGTATAACATTAAACACTGAGCAAGTTTATTGTTGCACTAAACTAGGGGTCGACTGATTATCGGTGCGATATTAAGCATTTTTATGGTTATCGGTATTGGTCATTTTCAAAACCGATTTGCCGATAAAATAATTTAAAGGCATTTAAAGAGTCAATAGCTTTGTGGGCAGTGTGCCGACATGAAGCGCCTTTGCGCTACAGGCATCCTGTGTTCAAATCCTGGCACAAAGGACCTTTCCCGATCCCGCCCCCCCTCTCTCTCCCACTTCGCTTCCTGTCTCATCTACACTGTCTTATAACAATAAAAGACAAAAAACTCCAAAATAAATCTTTTTTAAAAAGTAGGGCTGCCCTCGACTAAATATTTTTCTGGTCGATTAGTAGTCGGTCATTTTAAGCATTAGTCGACTATTATTCGCACTTTTATTAATAAACCATATATATCATAATAATGAGCCTTTAATTGCCTACATAGCCTAATAAGCGCTCAAGCGCACGCATTTCATACGGATTACATAATCTGATAATATTTGTTTTCTATTTGAATTGGTTCATTTAAAAGTTTCACTCTCTATAGATATATTTTTCATGTCTGTAATAAGGCAAGAATACACGAGTTTCAAAGTGTTCACAGAGTCCGAGACGGCAGAAAGCGCATCCTGTTTGCTTTAAAGGGGTCATATGATGCAATTTAAATTTTTCCTTTTTATACAAAATAATGTCCTTTTTAGCAACATTATATGACCCCTTTAATTATTTTACAAAAGCGCAACGTTTCGTTGTTATTCTGAGTGCACACGAATAAAGGTATAAATCTTTTTGAGTCTTTACAGATACAAAAGATGCATTACTCTTATCTGTATGACCAAAAATGACGAAGTATTTTAAGAGCAAATGATCGCACCGGTGCCTCCATCTGTCATGCAGTAGCCCAAGCGCGCTACTGTTCAGCTTCCACACTCCGCACAAACACGTGAACTGCGCGCTACTGTTCAGCTTCCGCACTCCGCACAAACACGTGAACAGCACACTTTTTTCTAGGCTAACATTAGATTGAGCGCCTTGTAAAGTTGCTACAACATATTTCAGATGATAAGCCATATTTGAGGTCGATGAATGTTAGGTGAGCATATGGATGTCCTGCCCGATGTACTATTACCACAGAGACCAGCTGTTAACGATTTGTCCGTCACAGACTGCGTTATTTCGCCACTCCGTGTGGAATTTTTTTTTCTGCGACTAATAAAATTTTGGTTGACCAAGCCTCTTCTCGTCGACTAACTGTTAGTCTACTATTAGGGGGCAGCCCTAAAAAAAGCATTTAAAGGTCCCATATTGTCAAAACTTAAATTTCCTGGCTTTTTTCACGATAACTGAGGTCTAGGGGCTATTTAACTACCATATAAGTTTCAAAACAGTCAGTCCACAGTAAAATGCACACAGCCTGCATAAAGTAGCTGTGATTTTTCACGAACCATTGTGACTTCCGTAAAAAGTTGACGTCAGAACTACACAGTCACCGCCTTCAGTCACC